CCCTTTGAATTGTTCGGCGCCCTGAGTCCTCCCGGAGAAGGGCGGCATACAAATAATAAAATACCAATACCAATACCCTATCCCACAAAAGCAGTTTAAAGTGCTTTTGAGGGACAAAAGTGGTTTGTGTTCATCTTCAGTTCTGCCCATTCAGAGCAGGGAGTCTGCAAGGAATGAATACCCTGAGCCAGCCGTTTCCCCGGCGTCAAGAGGAGGGTGTGAGAATTGACACTCACTGTCCCACCCATGAGTTATTGCAGATCCTGATGTGCCCCCCCAAAAATAAATAAATCCCCTCATCCTCCTTTCCATTCCATGCACAGGAAATCCAGTCAATCGCCAGCACCCCCTCCTCCGTTTCTAATTCATGTTGCGTCTGTGGTCATCGGCAGAGAACCCTTCAGGGTTGCTATGATGCGAAGCCGCCTTGCCTTTTCTTGCAACTTGTCAGGGAGAAAGGAAAATGGGCCGCCATTTTTGCAAAGGGATCCTTTTCTACAATAGGCAGATTAGGAGGAATGGATTGCAAACAATGCCTCTTCCCATGGGCCCCAAAGGTCAGGGGCTGTGAGGTAGTGAGATGTACTAGTTCCCACAATAGCAAAAGAAATAGCCACATGGTCTGTGGCATTGTAGCATCCCATACGAAAAAAACCAAATGTGTTGCAAGGTTAAACAGAAGGCTAAAATCATAAATTAAACCAGAGGAGGGAAACAGTTAACTAGCTCTAGGTAGCGTATTTTATAACAAGAAAACCAGTTTCCAGGAACAAGGACATTGTTCTGAATTTTTGCAAACAACTTTAGTACCTGGCAAATAATTTTGATTTTTATGGAACACCCCCCCCCCCGGGATCCTTGGACCACCCTTTAAGAAGGACTGTCCTAAACACCCTTGACAATAATCTCTGTTTGAATCTGGGGGAGTAGGGACTCTACCATATTTTTACTATTCTACCTTGCTGCAATTAAAAGGATTGGAAATGAAGCACCCAGAGCATCTCAAACATAAAAGCATCCAGGGCCTTCAGATTAAAAATTAAAAAAATTGTCCACATATATTTTTAAGCTTTTAAAATGTTTATTTATGGCACCTGTAAAATCAGGAACACTCCCCCATCTGAAACAATTGCAAAGCTTCCTTACAGTTGAAGAACGTAACTGGGTTTTTGGAAACTGGGAATCCTGGAACTCGTAACCCCAACATATTTGGGAATATCAGGAATGAAATACATTTTTAGTTTAAAAGAATTTCCTTTAAAACTGTCCCAGGAGGAGAAGTCTGTAGATTTTTATTCTAGCTCTAGGAGACCCAGCTGATAATTAAATAGCATATTCAGGTTAAGATGGTATTTTTTTATTTGTCCAATAAAATACCATTATTATAAAATCTTAAAGAAAATGGGTGAGATGGTACAAATCTGGCTCATTCTTCTAATTAATTAATGTAATTTTATTTTATTTTATCAATTTCATATATACATTCACAATTGTATGATCTCATAACTGTTATTAATAATATGTATTTGTAACAATTTTTCCCTACAGTTGACAATATACTTGAAGATTGCTTTCTTAACATCCCATAGATCCATCTTATCTTACAATGGTCCTACTTCTTCTTCCCTCCCTCCCTCTTTCCTTCCCTCGTTTCTTCTCTCCTACTCCCCTTCCTTCCCTCCTTCCTTCCCTCCCTCCTTCCCCTTCCCTCCTTCTCTCCTTCCCTCCTTCCTCCCCCCCTTCCTTTCCTCCTTCCTTCCCCCCTTCCTTCTCTCCTACATTCCTTCCTTCCTTCCCTTTCTTCTCTCCTTCTCTCCTTCCTTCCCTCCTTTTTTCTCTCCTTCTCTCCTTCCTTCCTTCCCTCCCTCCTTGCTTCCCTCCCTCCTTCCCTCCCTCCTTCCTACCCCCCTTTCTTCTCTTTCTTCTCTCCTTCCTTCCTCCTCTAATTAATGTAATTATTCAACTATAGAACCATAGCTTTAAGCTATAAAGTGATTGGCTTAGCTTTTGGTTAATGTACTATGAAAATCTTATCAATTGTGGTTTATTAAATGGCAATAGCACTTAGACTTATATACCGCTTCACAGTACTTTACAGCCCTCTCTAAGCGGGCTAATAAACCCTGGATAAGCTACAGATGAATATAAATAAATCCTGGTTAAGCTACAGATGATTATATGTGTACACTCATACCAATATTAGAAGCTCATTATTTATAAAATTAGCCAAAATGTCTTTCAAAGTCCTTGTTTCATTCTTTTATAAAACATTGTGATATCATTAACTATGGGAAGGACAGTTTGGAGTTGTGGTTAAAGTGCTAATTTAGAAAGCGTAAGACTATGAGTTCAATTTATTAGGTAGGGTGAGGCCAATCACTCACTCTCAGTCAAAGCCACCTCTTGAGGAGTAAGGAGGGAGATGGGTGCATAATGTATGCCACCTTGAATTCTATAAAATAAAAGACGGATGTAAATTTGATAGTAATAATTGTACTTAAATATTTCTTCTGATGCTACTACATTGAATAGCAAATACTTCGGTGCCATTAACATTTATCCAAATCCTTTTGGAAATTAACTCTTACCTGTTAAAAATTGTGCACTTCTACCACTAACTTGGAGTAGGTATTAGTCTCATGAATTTAATATACAAAGAATTGCATGGCACATTAGCATTTGATTTGTCAGGTAACATCTGGTGGCTTGAATTACTTGTTTTCACATAGTTGCTTCTGGTATTTGGCAGCCTGACACCAATATCTAGGAAGATCTTGGAAAAGATAATTAAGGAGCCATATTTATGATCACCTAGAAACGAACAAGACAAGTACTCAAAGCCAGCATGGGTTTGTCAAAACAGACCGTGACAGGCAACCTTATTGCCTTCTTTGGCAAAATGACAAAATTAATGAATAAGGCTATGAACATAAGTAGACCAAAGGCAACTTCTTGGTAAGATAGAACAATGTGGAATAGACAACCTAGTTGTTAGCCAGTTGCAACTGACTGACAACCACACTTATCATGTAGTCCTCAGTGGAACTACATCTACATGGAGGTAAGTTTGCCGTGGGGTACCTCAAGATAATATCAGTACTCTTTAAAATCTGCATAAATGATCTAGATGAGGGAATAGAAGGGTAAATTCAAATTTTCAGATGATAACAAGATAGTGAATAGCTAATAGCTAATTGACAAGACTCAGGATTCAGAAGGACCGTGAGAGATTTGAACCCTGGGTCTATCCAACAAAAAGCGATTCAGTGATGGGAAAAAGGAAGATTCTATACATAGGTGTTGTGACTCAGCAGAGGTTTGCTGTGAGTTGCGTCGGGATGCAGGAATAATGAGCAGCTGTTGCTCGTTAGGGTCATCTTCTGCAGATAAAAAGACGGATGGTGCCANTGATTAGAATGTAGCATTGCGAGCTAACTCTGCCCACAGTCTGGAATTTGATCCTGACCAGCTCAAGATTGACTCAGGTTTCCATCCTTCCAAGTTCAGTAAAATGAGGACCAAAATTGTTATAATATAAGTCTATTGCTAGTCCTCCCTCCCTTTCTTTTCCCTTCCTTCCTTTTTCCTCTCCCTCCCTCCCTCCCTCCATTCATTTCTTCCTTCCTTCTCCTTCCATGGTGGCACAGTGGTTAGAACGCAGCATTGCAGGCTAACTCTGCCGCACAGTCTGGAGTTTTAGGGGGAAAGAGTGTTTTATACTCCAAAAAGTACGGTATATGCGTACGCGGGATCTGGTTACATTTGAGCAACCTTCATTGCTATTTACACGCATTGACTTTACTTTGTTGATCTTTTAGCAATGACTTTCCCTGATAGTCCTTAACCATTTTTTGAAAAGGTCAGTCAGTCTCACGAAAGCTGGATAAACTAATCACGCAGCCCCAGCTTAAATCACCTCATGAATATTTCAAATTAATGCATGCAAAATATTCATTCTAATGCAACCCGCTCACCCGCAGAAGGTGCGAGTTCCGTGCTATTATTATAATACGATGGATTGTGATACGCTGGATTAAAGGCCTGGGGACTAAAAACACATGACGAACGGACGCAGGATTTCGGTTTGACTAGTCCAGGGGTCATTCTCTTTCGTCCCTCTGCTGCGCCTCCCTATCGCCGATCAGCTCCACAATTGATAGGGCTTTCGGTTAGGACAAGTAGAGGAAAAAGGTCGCCGTGCTAGGAGGTGACTCTATGGTGGGGGAACTGGAGTTCCGGTCAGCAGAGGAAAAAGGATACTGCCATAGGAGAAGACTCTATGGTGGGGGAACTGGACTTCCGGACAGCTCCAGAATTGAATGGGGGGCTTCCGGTTAGGACCTTTGTGGCTCTTTTAGTGTTTAAGGTTGCCAACCCTTGGTCTAGTCTAAAGAAAAGATGGACTAGGGGGGACATGAAAGCAGTGTTCCGGTATTTGAGAGGCTTCCACAAAGAACAAGGGGTCAACTTATTTTCCAAAGCACCAGAAGCCAGGACAAGAAACAAGGGATAGAAACTAATCAAGGAGAGGAGCAACTTGGAACTAAGGAGAAGCTTCAAAAAAGTGAAGATAGTTAGACAGTGGAACAGAAGTTGTGGGTGCTCCATCACTGGAGGTTTTCAAGAAGAAACTAGTCAGTTTCTAGTGCAACTGGTGCCACAGGGCTGGGCGTCCCCCACATGAAAGTGCACAGCACACACACAGTGCACGTATGTGTACATACTGCCCGCGATGCTCTGCAATGCTCCATGACACTCCAGCTGCTCGGCGGAGCATCGCGTAGGCGCCGTATGTTCCGTGCGCATAAGCCCCGATTGGCTCAAATACAGGTAAGGAGGGCAGGCAGACGGGTGGGCCCTCTGGAGCACCGTACCGGAATGGCACCTGGTGCTCCCAGCAGGCACTGGTACGCCTCACCACGGACATACACGTGCCCACCACTTGGTCTCTGTGTCTCTGCCAGCTGCTCTTTAGGTTTCCAGCGCCCCTGCGTGCGCAAAGACCACCTGGCTGGTGTGCATGCGCGTGCCAGAAACCGGAAGAGCAGTTGGTGATGGCACACATGCTATAGGTTCACCATCACAGGTATAGGGGCTCCAGCTGGAGCATCCGAGGTCCCTTCCAGCTCCATTCGTATGATGACGATTGTACCACCACTAGTCCGAATCGTGCTTTCTGACTGACCTGTAGAGGTGTTCCATTAATGCTGCCAGAGTTGCTTTGTTGACGGGTGGAAGTGTGCGAATGAAGGTGCTGTATTTCCTCACCCTGTCTTTGTCATCCAGTGTATCTGACGGAGAAGAGGAAGGGTAGAAATTAAATTACTCACATGGATTACCATATTTTTCGGAGTATATATATATAAGACACACCTTTTTCCCTCAAAAAAGAAGCTGAAAATCTGGCTGCGTCTTATACACTAAATACAGCATTCTTTGCCTCCTGAAACCCTGCCCTTCACCAAAATGGCTGTGCAGAGCCTTTAGGAGGCTTATAGAGTGATCCAGGGGGCTGGGAAAGGCAGAAATGAGTGAAAAATGGGCCATTTTTGTTCAATTTTGCGCCCCCACCCCCAGGAGAACTCTATGAGTCTCCTAAAGGCTCTGCATGCCCTTTTTTTAAAAACAAACTGGCCCTTTTTCGTGAAAACGGGCCATTTTTTGCTGGTTTTTGGGTCCACTCCCCCCCCCCAGGAGCACTCTAGAAGTCTCCTAAAGGCTATTCATGCCCTTTTTAAAAAACGAGCCCATTTCTGCGAAACACGGGCCATTTTTGGGAGGTCTGCAGAGTGCAAAAACTTTTTTAAAAAATTTGCCTCTTCAAAATCTTGGTGCGTCTTATACTCCGGTGCACCTTATACTCCGAAAAATACGGTAAACTACCATGTGGATGAAAAGGCAACTGGAATTGGCCTGTTCCTTTAGCAGCACTGAGGCATTTGCAAAGATAATTTAGCCAATCACCCTCTCCTTTATCGACACAATACAAATGCAGGTATAATCCTTGACTTATGACCACAACTGAGTCTTTGGTCACAACTGAGTTATGGTCATCACCACAATATAAAAAAAGATGATGATACTCTGGAAAGAGTGCAGAGAAGAGCAACCAAAATGGTCAGGTAGCTGGAGGCTAAAACATATGAAGAAGAGTTGCAGGAATTGGGTACGTCTAGTCTAATGAAAAGAAGGACTAGGGAGGGCATGATGGCAACTGTTACAATTTTTGTGGGGCAGTGTTGTGGCCCGTCAGCAGCCAGCAGAGCTGGCAGCAGATTCGGACAGTGAGGAGGTTGGGGAGGAACATTGGTCCAGTCCTGGAGTCTGGGGAAGGCTCTGAGGAGGGCTCTGTGTCGGAGGCAGAGAGGGGGCCAGGGCCATCTGACAGTTATCAGCTTCCTTCGGAGTCAGACATCAGTGGGGCAGAAGAACAGCGGGAGCCCTGTTCCCAGTGTGTGCATGTGCAGAGTTTCCAGATGAAGGGAACAGCTAAAGAACAAGGGTTGACTTGGGAGTAAGGCCACAGGTGGACGGTGAATGGCCCCTCCCAGAGGGAATAAAAGAGGAGCAAAACTGGAGTGGAGTTTGCAGTAGACAATTAGTTCATTCCTGCATTCTTGCATCTGAAAGATATC